ACTTTCGTATTTTTTTAAACCCTGCAACTGTGATGTAACAACAGTAAAGTTTTACTCCGTGTGTGTGTGTGCTTGCATGCGTGCGTGTGTGCGCGTGTGCGTGTGTGTGTGTGTGTTTTACAGATTGGTGTGGACCAAAATACTGTCTATCAGTTGGGGAATCAGAATACACGTCTCATTATGACTTTATACCAACCAAGGAAAAAAAATGATAAAAATCTTAGCACACAGGCCAATGGGTACAGCAAGCACACTTGGTGGATGGTGCCGCCATCTGACATGAATCTGTATCACAAGAGAGCAAACTATCACTGGGAGTAGGCATTGTGTCATTAATCCTCCTACAACCAACATCTACCTTCTGTTTTTCAAAAAAAAGTACAATCCCGACCTGTCATCGTTTGTCAGATGCAGACAGCTTTGTCATGCATCAGTGGAGATAAGCAATGATAGGCGTAATTTCCCTGGGATACTGTAAAGACAGGAACTCAATGGCACTAAATCTGCGCTCATTCAAGACCTGTACTCCCAGACGGTGTTTGGTAGTGTTACACGTCGATTCCGAAATCTAAATAATATGTTAACCAAGATTAGTTGGTTTGTTGTTTAACGCCGCACTCAGCAATATTCCAGCTATATGACGACGGCCTGTAAATAATCGAGTCTGGACCAGACAATCCAGTGATTGACATCATGAGCATCGATCCACGCAAATGGGATATGACGACATGCATCCACCAAGTCAGCGAGCCTGACCACCTGATCCTGTTAGTCGCCTCTTACGACAAGCATAGGCCTAGGCTGAACACCAGAGTGAAAAGTGATCTTCACACAAAAGCTGGGATGAGACAGGCACGTGTCTGCTCCACTTACATAGTCTCACTGGCTTCCCGCACTTTCCACACAGTGCTTGACCAGTCCTGTGTCACTAGAACATCACAGAACATTCCACATTTCTATAACGCTTGACATCCATTCATACTATTCCGGACGTTTACCTATAATTCGAGCATCAAAAAACAATAACTTCCTCACCACTGCTTACATAAAATAGTACTACATTCCTGACAACAATCATTGTCCAAATACAATACAATAAACTTCTACGTGCCCACAATATTATACAGTTACAATCATTGTTTAAACTAAAAATTACACTGCCATGTAACAGAGGGTGCTGGACAGCCACTATGCAATGTTGAGACAGGATGCAGGCCTGGTAACCTGTGCTTGTTATCAAAATAGATGGGGGTCTGGCCATTGAAATTAATCCAAAAACGCCATAATTGTTCAGAGGATAATCAATGACCTATGAGGCATTACGGATTATCAGTCCCAAGTGAATGACTGGTGTTAATCAAGGGCCTTTGGCGAGGGAAAGATAATTCGTTGTTTCGAGTAGGTTATTCTATATATTACTCATTGACATTTTAAGAGAGAAAAGGAAGAAATACGTATGAAATGTCAACCCTACAGATAAATTTCACAGAAGGCAGCCTATTGTTCCGATGATGTTGTGTAATCAATTATGAAAATGAACAATGGAGCTAAATCGCAAAATGCACGTACAAATATCGGAAATGTATTACACAAGTTCATTCTATGAGACACAAACTCATATGTTTTAGAGGTTTTAACGCCACACCAGAGTGAGTGAGTGAGTTGGGTTAAACACCGCTTTTAACAGTATTACAGTTATATCATGGCGTGTCAGCTTAATCATGTGGGAGGAAAGCCTGAAGTGATGCAGGTCTCAGACGTTTACCACTTCGGTGAAAACTCACGAGCTCGGGTATGGTGCTGACAAACCTAGAAACATAATCAGGGCGAACCGGGATTCGAACCAACAAGTAATCAACACCTGATCGTGGTACAATTAAGTTTTTTTGGTGCAAGGCACGAACATAGTAGTCACAGGCAGGCGACATGAGGCATGCTTCATTTGATTTTCAAGAAGTCTGCAGATGTCCTATCATTGTCCATGCTCAGAAGCCTTAAGAAGGGGATTTCAATGTTCGAATGAAGAAATCAACACTTGAACTTGGTGGACTTCGTACAAACATAGAAATGTCATATGTGGCATGTAATAGGGGTCAAACGATACAGCAAGGCCACGATACGATACATATCACAATATATGGCTCACTATAGATACATCAAATCACATGAAAAGTTCTTGCTTAGAAATATTTCAGAGCACGTTCAAAACGTAAAGCTAGCTGTTGTAGCAGCTATTTTTAGTAGTGACCTTGAAACACAATTCGAGATATTTGACTGACAAAAATGCAAGGTGTCATTTTACGAGTGGTAAGTAATTTATTCCAGCAAGTGAATCATCTTGTATCGATACAGAGAAAAACGTTTAATCATTTCACCCATAAGCATGATAAGATGTAATCTACAAGTTTGATTGGTACCCATGATTCAAAGAGTCATACTTGTTTGAATTTCCAGATTCACAAAATAAATTATTTACAGCGCATTTGTTGCTTTTATTGATAGAATAGGGCGAATTGTCAAACTGATCAATAAAATGAAATACAGGTGGATTTAATAAGGAAATGTAGATATCTTTGGGGGTAGCATCTGTAATAGTGACAAAGTTTTGATAAGTCACTTGCTTGGTATTGTGAGATTTTTAATTTCCTCAAACACTATTTTCACTTGTAACACAAATTAAATATTTCACCTGAGCATTGTTTATTCTATTGTGTATATATGTTATAGTCAATGTATAAAATGACTAAAACTTTCACAATGACAATTTTTTCAATGCCTACATATTCAGTTATTTTACAAATTGACTGAAAAATCGGTCCATTTATTTTATTATGGCACCAAATTCCAAACATACTAATATTTAATTTCATCACCCAGTTACTGAAATTGATAGGATTAAAAGAAAACGAAAGTCAAAGTATATATATTTGAGCTTCTAATCCTTGTGTAATTGGTCTATTGTGATGTTTTAAGCCTTTTCAAAAGTCTTTATAATTTTAGGCAATCTGTCAAATAAATGGACAATTTTTTCAGTCAATTTGTAAAATGACTGAAATATTTAGATATGTTATAAATTGCCTGATTGAATTACATGTTACCCATTTACTGTAACAAATACATGACTACAAACGAAAAGGCTTGTCCCGTATCAAAGAACTTCCCAACAAAAACATAGAGGAACAATGCTACAGCAAATGAATGAAAACAAAATGCAAATATCGTAACTACAACCGGCAAAGTTATATGTATTATATAAGGCAATTACCAAGTTCGAGGAATGTATCTGTGAATACCCACATAAAGGAACAATCTCATACATCTGCAGCTGTACAAAGAAACTTGTTTGAAGTCACGTGTCTTTGTAACAATATAATATTTAAAAATAGATATAGTGTCACTGGAAATTATACCTCGTGTTCGTCTCTCAACTGATCACGTAAGTTTGTTTCAGGTGTTTTCACATAGGTGTCAAGTTTCATTGGTCAGCTGAGATATAACATGTGACAACTATTATCATGATGTCCATGGTTCTTTTAAAAAATCAATTGAGTTACATAGCAATGAGCAATGAGCAATGAAGCAACGTACAACCTGCCAATTCATAGCCACTTCACGCCCAGATATGGGTGTATTCAGTCTGCTTTTGTTAACCATGTTAACCTAGACATGAAAACACTTACTTTTGATAAATCCATTGTGCAAGATAACAGTTATTTATTAATAAGCGTATTTTCAGTTAATCCTTTGATGGATATATTTTTTGTAACTCAACCGATCATTCCTTTCTTACTGCACTGGCACTTGCATATGATATTATAGAAAATACATTTCAGGTTTCACCCAATGTCAAACCTGGATTAAGATTGAATAATTACCCCTGACACAAGACCTGCCAAGGGTCAGGAAATCTGAGTGCTGCTACCACTAATTATACCTGTAATAAATTCATTAACTGAGCCATGGACACTTAATATATTTAGGGTCCATGACTGAGCATAAAATTAATGATGACAAATACACAGGTGTAGGGTTATACCAGAAAACATGGATGACAACAAAAAAATGTTTAAGGAGTAACAATCATATTATCATCAAGTCCATATAGTCTATCTTTGAATCATCTCACTGGTGTATATATATCCACGCAATCCAAAATCCAAGAATGCTTTCACTGCAGGGATCCTTTTTTTTATTAAACTATAACAATTAGTTTTTTTCCAAATAATGACATTCAATGATCTTCCACATTCTTTTTGTTTAGGTTGAGGAAATTAATTAATATGCACCTTTTGTCATATCAAAATCATCATGGGTAACAAATCAGTGTTCAGGAATGCGTTTAGCATGTTTAGATATTGTCTCAAAGTTTATTCATACTGTCCTTACAGACGGTAGCCCAGATTCTTGTCATGATCAGTTGTGTTAGCCAGCAAATCAACTAACAGCAGCTAGTAAGCCCTAGTAGGCAGTGTTAGACAGCTAGGAAGAAGCCAGAGGTTAGTGCCCCTTTAAACCAGTGAGCTGACCTTTTTTCAAAATAATTCTGATTAAAATCCCTTCACAGCTTGTGACTTCTTATTTGCATCTTCTGTGGAAAATTTTAGACAAAATGGGCGGCAAGTGTTTGAGTTATGGGTTGCACTTCATTACTCCCCAACTAGAAATTTACCACTTTGGTGAAAGCCGAGAATAGGTACGGTACTGACAAACCAAGAAACATAATCAGGGGGAACGGCAAAAGACGAACACACTGTGCCAACCGGCCCAAAGTTATCTATCCAAAAAACAATAAACGAATGAGTGATGGAAAGTTAGTAACCGCAGTAAACATTGATATTAATGTACAGTCTTCGTGTATACGACTATTACTAAACGACCACCCTACAGTTTTAGGACTGTGCTTGTTATATGAACGAAAATAATAACGTTGCTCGGTTTGTTGTTGTGATCGAAAACAGAACAAAACATATGTAATTGGTTATATTTTTCAGATAACTCACTTTGTATAATCTTCACGCTTCTGAATATGATATTTCCTCAATGCCTTGACTTCAGAAACATTATTGTCGATTTCCCATGAAATGAAATCGACCTTTTTCAACAATTTCTTTTCGTGATACTTCAGTTTACGAACCATCTTTGCACGTGTTCCTTAAAAACAGGAAGTTGGTAAATACAAGGGGTATAACTCTTATCATAATACAGTTCAAGTCGCTATAGAATTTTTGAACATTTGTTCAATGATTATTGAAATAATGAACTACGTAATATTTTGTATTGTCTTTTTAACCAAAGCAAATTGAATGAAAGCAGGATAAATATTAATAATTAATAATTAATTTCTGTAAACGTAACATGAATAAAATTATATTTTATTCCGTGTTATTATTGCAATTAATTTCTAATTAAAATATTCCACATACAGATCATAAAGAAATACATATTAACTTAAACATACAAATATTGTTCCTTTGTTCCTTATATAACGATTTTTTTTTAAATATCTCATATTTCAAGGCAAAATAACAAAGGCATATCCCACGCGTAAAACTTCACGAGATGCACGTGGTTTATTCCGGGACACAGCGGAATAATTATATTGTTATCTCACACAATAAAACATAGAGTATGAACTGGGAAATGCCTGAGGAGATTGTTCATTTTGCTTGTCGATTTACATTTGTCAATAACAAACCTGCCAATCATTTCATCCAAGGCGCGTGGCGCAACCAGGATCTCGCTTAGAATCAATATCTCAACATAAACGACACCCAAAATAATTTTATGACCTGGAATTATTGTTATTTGGAAATAGGGATTATTAAGTGTGATAGTTTATTAGAAGAATGGACAAATTAGAACACTGTATGGAAATTTACGACTTCCATGAAAACCGTTTTGGTTTTGTTTGCTTTTGACGACTGAATCCTTTCAAATAGAAGCTTCGAGCTCTCTCATGTGCGGCTCAATTTATAGCGATTCGTCTATTATTTAGTTCTATTCAAAGTTTACATTTATCTATAACAGTTACCGCTCTACAAAAAGTGTGAATTGTGAACTAATGAATCGGTATATGAACGTGCCCTTTTGTAAATTTCAAGTAATAAAATTATATTATGAAAAAATAATGACAATGCTTTTATATACGAATATAAAAGCGGTTTTATGTTTGCTTCTTCTGTAATGGGTTATAAGAGCACATAACACATACAAGTAACAGTAGTTTAATATTCAAATTGACGTCATAGAGTTAAATGAGGACACTAATTCGCGGGCTGACACTCGTTCTCCATCCTCGATTAGCAAGGGCATTATTAGATACGGTTTAGATACGGCCCCAATAGGCGACGAAGAGGATCGGGTGGTCAGGCTGGGTGACTCTGTTGAATGCGTGTCATCGTACGTGACCGAACGACAAGGATCGTTGCTCACATTATGAATCACTGGATTGTCTGGTCCAGATTACTATATTTACAGGCCGCCGTCTTCTCGCTGAACAAACAAATGTTGAAAGTGTGACTGTTGAAAATATGTTTTCAATAAATGCATAGTATTTTAAGCCGTTTACCAGGTAACACAACTGCCACCTTTATGAGTGAGTGAGTGAATATGGTTTTACGCCGCTTTTAGCAATATTCCAGCAATATCACGGCGGGGACACCAGAAATGGGCTTCACACATTGTACCCATGTCGGGAATCGAACCCAGGTCTTCGGCGTGACGAGCGAACGCTTTAACCACTAGGCTACCCGACCGCCCCTTCACCTTTATGTCATGATTGCTGTAATACGTTCGGTATACACAGGCGACGTAGTTATTTTTAGCCGCCAATCGATTTCATATGTTGAAAATATTTATACATCATATAGCTCGTATAATATAAGTGCATAATATTATTCCCGTTTATTACCAATAGTGTTAGAAATAACAGAATTAATGAAAATCGTATATGCACTAGTGCAAATAATACTTTTCGCGCACCAGTGTATTGTTACGTAATCCGGACGAATCATATTGTGACGTAAGGTCGGAATGACGTCAGACTAGAATCGACGTCATGGATAAGGAATTGTTGACGTCATGCGTCACAAATCTATTGTGGATTTAAACTACGGCGATCGCGATCAGTGGGGCTGAAAAAGGATAAGAAATAATGGGTAATAAAAAAAGCATTACACTCGTATGTGTATCATACTACATTTACGATACTTATGTAAGATAACTCGCTTGGGAAATACAACAATTCCGACTCTCGTTTCGACAAATCAGTTTGACACATAAGCTCGTATAATATTCTCTGTTTATCAACCGTCAAGCACAAAAGACTATATCAAGCATTTTGCCAATAGAAGAAGGCCCGATTTCTACGAGGCGATCTTGACACTGTATCCCAAAAGGATCGATTACCGGTATATAAGATCGTACCCTGCAAATTGATTTGTGACCTTTCAAAGTTGAACAGGGTTAAGCTTATTTTTATTAGTTTAAAGGAATTTTATACGTTATTTATTAGCGACGTCACTCACGTGTTCTCCAGGGTTTAACAAGACTGAGTACCGTTGTTCCGATAAATCTGTTGTTGATTTGGACATTAACTTGCAACACAAACCAGATGGGAAAGCCCACAGCGTCACAAGTCGGGAATAGACATTTATATCTACTTTAGTAGAACTCACGAGCACAGCATGGTGGTGGCAAACCAAACTTCATAATTAACGCGAATCAGGGATTATATCCTGCCACTGCTGTACATAGAGGTGAGGTGAGGTGAAATGGGGTTTAACGTCGCGTCCAAGATTATTGCACTTATATAGCGACGTGCATGTACGTGTGTGTTTGTGTGGCTGCTTGTACTAGTCCGGACTGATGCCGATTTATGGTGCTCGCTCACTGAGATACCATGCCGCAGTTGAACATGAATACCCCACTCAGACACAGTATACTGACTCCGAGTCGACCAGTCCTTGCTTTAGCCCATTAATGCCGAGCGCCAGACAGGGTAACAACAAGTACCATCTTTTAACGTCTTTTGGTATGACGCGGTCGGGGATCGAACCCCGGACCTTCCGCTCTCCGGGCGGACGCTCTACCACTAGACCACGGAGGCGGCCCTGTACATAGAGACGTGTGACGCTCAGACAACAAGACCATGTTTGTTTGTTTGTTGTTTAACGTCGCACTCAGCAATATTCCAGCTACATGAGAGCGGTCTGTAAATAATCGAGTCGGGGCCAGAACATCCGGTGATCGACATCATTAGCATCATAATGTGCTGGGGCCTTTACTGCCCGGAATCTTCATGGGGACCAGTCATTGTGTGCTGCCTCGGAGTTTCCATGGGGAGCAATCATTCTGTACTGGGACTTATTCTGCCCCGGACTTTCCATGGGGAGCAATCATTGTGTGCTGGGACTTATTCTGCCACGGAGTTTCCATAGGGACCAGTCAGTGTGTGCTGCCTCGGAGTTTCCATGGGGAGCAATCATTGTGTACTGGGGCTTTTTCTGCCCCAGAGTTTCCATGGGGAGCAATCATTGTGTGCTGAGAATTATTCTGTGACGGAGTTTCCATAGGGACCAGTCATTGTGTGCTGCCTCGGAGTTACCATGGGGAGCAATCATTGTGTACTGGGGCTTTTTCTGCCCCAGAGTTTCCATGGGGAGCAATCATTGTGTGCTGAGAATTATTCTGTGACGGAGTTTCCATAGGGACCAGTCATTGTGTGCTGCCTCGGAGTTACCATGGGGAGCAATCATTGTGTACTGGGGCTTTTTCTGCCCCAGAGTTTCCATGGGGAGCAATCATTGTGTGCTCGGACCTATTCTTCCCCGGAATATCCATGGGGACCAGTCATTGTGTACTGGGACCTATTCTGCCCCGGAATTTCCATGCGGACCAGTCATTGTGTACTTGGACTTTTGCGCCGGAATATCCATGGGGAACAGTCATTGTGTGCTGGGACTTATTCTGCGCCGGAATCTCCATGGGGAACAGTCATTGTGTGCTGGGACTTATTCTGCCCCGGAGTGTCCATAGGGAGCAATCATTGTGTACTGGGACTTATTCTGCCCCGGAGTTTCCATGGGGAGCAATCATTGTGTACTGGGACTTATTCTGCCCAGGAGTTTCCATGGGGAGAAATCATTGTGTACTGGGGCTTATTCTGCCCAGGAGTTTCCATGGGGACCAGCCATTGTGTAATGGGACTTATTCTCCCCCGGAATCTCCATGGGGAACATCCATTGTGTGCTAGCTGGGACCTATTCATCCGCCGAATCTCCATGGAGAACAGTCATTGTGTGCTGGGACCTATTTTTCCTCCGAATCTCTATGGGGAACAGTCACTGGGTGCTGGGACATATTCTACCCCATATCTCTATGTAGAGCAGTCGGCCATAATTATTATGCCCTAGAATCTCTTTGTGGAGCAGTCATTGTGTGTTGCGGCCTCTTCCTCGCCTGAATCTCCAAGGGGAGCAATCATTGCGTGCTGGTGCCTCTTCTGAATCTCTATGGGGAGCAGTCATTATGTGCTGCGACATATTCTGCACCCGGACCTCCGAGGGGAACAGTCATTGTGTGCTGGTGCCTATTCTTTCCCGGAATAGCCACTGGGAGCACTCATTGTGTACTGGGACTTACTCTGCCTACATGACTCCTCACGAGGAGAATTGTATATGTAGCATCGTCTGTTTTACCGGAGGCTGTTATTAACAAACGTGTCAGCCAAATGCCCATTCAAAATAAGCAGAATTGCAGTTATACCACCATCTCCTGTAAGTAATTGAGTCTGGAGCAGACGAACCAGTGGTAACAAGTATTGAACCACATCAACGTATACCACGTGTACAATCAGAATGCGCACACATTGTGACTACCCCATTACGTGGGGACATCCCATTACGCGTCACATAACAACGTCCTTTCATCCGACCAATCAGAGCCTCGCTTACTACATGGGGAAAGTATCGGATTGTATTTTCTAATCAAGCAACCTTGAAAAGGTTAACACGAGGTATTGCGAATGACAGTTACGGGTTGAACGACTGAATCAGTCAAAATCATCATCTATATCTGTCCCTTCAATGGGATAAACATTTGCACGGAAGAGACTTTGCATAGCCTTCGAGAAGTACTTACGTACAATATTGGCCATCTAGGAGA